TTTCTTATGCCGTAGATCCGCCGTTGAGATATTATTTCAGTTTTTATTTTATTTTTTGTTGACTTCTAGGGTTTTAGTTTTGCTGAAAAACTAAGTCTAATGAACGGAAATGAAGCACATGAAAATTAGGTCTCTTTCTTGTAGATAAATGTATGCATGTTGTTAGGGTTCTGGGTTTCTAATTTCCAAGGGAATGGGAGGTTCTAGGGTTTGTCTATATTTTTTTTAACAAATTTGTTTTTACAGATTTTCCTTTATTATGAAAGGAAAGGGGTTGTTTTTACCAAAAAAAAAGGAAAGGGGTTGTTGTTGCATTTATCCGGCTCATTTTTTTAATTTTGTTTTGGCAATTGATAAAATCTGTTGTCATTTTTTTCTTTCTGTGTTAAATTGATTATTTGAGCGGTCAAAAAAAATTGGCTTGAAAATACTTATGTTGTTCATACGCCCACCCACACGCACAAACACGTCAACATATATATATATATATATATATATATATGTAGATACGCATGATCTATGTTTAGGGAATGTTCCACATTTTGTGGAATGAGTACTTGTTGGATGTTTTCTGCAGTGTGCTCTGCCCAGCGCTTATTGTAAGGAAATATCCTTGTGAAGTTGTGAGAAGTAGCTAAACATAAGTTTATTAGATTTGCTAATGAAATTTAGAGACTTGTACGTTACCATATCGCCCCCCCAAAAAAGTTGTTACTTTCTCGATTCCCAACATACTGCAAAGCTTAAATAGTCTTACAAAAATATTTAAAAAGCTACTATACATGAATTAGGACTCTAAATCAATGAATATTTTAATATTTCTACCTCAAATCTCCCTCTCTTGTACACACATGTTTTCCCTTCTGTTATGTTTAACCAATGAGGGGGGCCGATGGTGCAAAGAAAACAAAAGTCAACTCAATCTAAGTTCTTACACCCTTATTTCACCACTCCACTTAAAAAGATTTTCTCAATGAATATCTAGACTTGACCATCTTAGCAACTCAGCATCTCTGAGTACTTAGTGCTAGTTTGGCATTGCTTATTTGGGGTAATAAGTGATTTTTTTAAAATTTTGAGAAGCCCGGCCCGTTTGGTAAACTATGAGAAAATCACTTATTGTTAAAAATTGCTGTGAGAGAAAGCTATAAGGGAAAACAGCTAATGAGGTGCTTTCATTTTCTGATTATGCAGGAATCAGTTTCAAAGAGGCGCTAGGTTTAATGATTATGCGGGAATTAGTACCAACAACACTCTTAACAAAAAGTTTACCAAACGCCAAACTGCTTTCTCTCACAGCTGATTTCTCTCACAGCAAGTCTGACATCGATTATTTTCACAGCACAGCAATGCCAAACTGGCCCTTACACTAGCATTTGTATGAACTACTTGCTGCTGGAATTGAATTGCAAGGGCATAGCTGAAAAATCCATTAGATAAATTATGAGATACATATATTTATCCTTAACAGTCAACCAGGAGCGGGCCTGGGATGGTGCAAGTGGCGCCACCGCATAGGGCCCTTAATTTTTGGGAGCCCCCAAAAACATTTTCTTTATATTATATATATTAATATTATAGAAATGGTATATATACTTTAGCGTGCTGCATATTATTACAAAAGTGTGTGTGGCGGAGCTAGCTTTGTAGCGCATTCGTTAATAGAAGGGCCCATGTTCGAATCTCATTGAAGTCATTCTACAATACTAGTTGTGTTTTTTTTTTTCTTTTGGGGGAAAAAACTCTTGTAATAGTTTTAATTCTTCAAATAAAGATAACAAATACAATGTGAATGATTTTTCGATAGTAAGGTATGTTTTTGTCATTACATGTTTATTGATGATGACTTTTAGCTATAAGTATTTTTGTATTAGATTATGTGAGGCCACAATTTAAGTTTAGCACAGGGCCCTCAAAATCTCAGGGACGGCCCTGCAGTCAACATAAGACAGAACATCTTTACTAAATGCATCAATCATCTCGCCTAATTGCTTCTTGATAAATAGATACATAGAGACATGAAAGGATTATGCATGTGATTACAATTAAGCTGCAATACGCATTAAGTTTACTTTATCCGAACAAGAAACAATAAGAAATAGAGCAGAGAACTTTAATTTTGTAGTGAACTAATCACTCGGTGAATTATATATCAAATTCTGCACTACATGAATTACAAGTCAAAGGAGTAACCATCTGTAGAAACTAGTTATATCTTCCTCTTATATATCCAAGGGTTGATTCTCCTCTGAGCCACCTTCATTGCCACCTTCATCGAAACTTTCATTAGCACCTTCATTACCATCTTCATTGGCACCTGCATTTAGGGGTCATCATTAGGTCAGCGAGTCCGTGGACCCAAAGGGGCCCACTTGGCCCATCGAGAAAAAGCTTGGCCCGGCCTGTTATTGAGTGGGCTAGGCTTGGGTGTCTAAAGCACGACCACGCCCATAAGCCCGGCTCTTTTGAGCCCAAGAAAGCTCGACTCGAAATAAAAGCCCAGTCCGCATGCCGACATACATATAAATAAATATTTTTTTAAAAACAAGCTAAATGAAAGATGGAGAAAATCATTATAAGAACTAATAAAAATGAAGTAGGGGATAAAACATGATTTTGTTAATATAGTGGTTGTATAATTATATCTTCATATGTATGGAGAAAAAAAAAACTATGAAGTTATGAACAAAGAAAACTTTAGAAGTTATAAATATATAGATAAATGTATAAAAAAAATTAAAAAAATAAAACACTATGAAAAAAAGGGAAACATAGAAAAAAATTTGACAAAAAAGTAGGTCCATTTCGGCCCCCCTAGCCCAATAGGGTTTCTTCGGCTCAGCCCATGGGCCAGGCCTGGGCTTTGAATTTTCTGAAAAAGTCCAACTTATCCCATTATTTTCTCTCTCCTCCTTGAAGCCCAGCCCAGTTTAGCTCAAGCCCATTAAATTTGGGTCAGGCTAGCCCAGCTCGCCCTATTGACGAGGCCTACCTGCATTGATGATCTCGTGATGTAAATACTTGGTCCTGTAGCCCTTCACCTTTTTCACATACCAAATTGCCACTTGAATAACATGGAAGGCAAAGATCACCAGAATCATACCAAACCAAATCTTCAGCTATGTGGGGATGGAAAAAGAGCTGCATTCCAAATCCCTTCGAGTATCACCAACCAAATTAGTAGCATAAACATGATTCACACAAATATGAGACTAGCACACATAAGCATTAATAAGATAAACATAAATATACGATGCTTTATAGGAAATCCGCTACAAATCAGAAGATTAATTGTCTGACTTGCAAAAACAATACTTGAGATAAATTTTTTTTTTGAATTTTCAAGGTGATGACTCAAGACCTTGAAAATATCATCATATATTTTTAAAATTGTTCATAACTTTAAATGCTCATATCTCATTCATTTCTAAATGAATTTTGATGATCTTTATATGAATTTAAAGCTTATAACTTTTACTTTTACTCCATAAAATTGGTAAATATTTGAGTAACACTTTAAGAAAATATACTCGAACTAAGATATATCGAGTTGATTTTATAAATTTGTTCTTTCATTGGTTATGGATTAAAATCTTTGATATTGACTATGAAACTTATACCATCAACAATTAATTTTCCACATAACTTATAATGGACAAATCCTCAAGAAAAATCCTGACACCTCACAACATGCATGAACATGTCCATAGAAAAATTGGATATAGTCCATTAGGGAGAATGCATTTCCTTCTAATTGGCCAACATCTTGATTTTTGTTTAAATTATCTATTAGATTTTTATTTTTGTTTCATGTGGTTACTTTGTGGTAACTCTATTTTTTTTTTTCCGCTTGCAAGCAATTCAAGGAATTTGTAGGTATTAAATGTCATTTGAAAGCAAGATTCATAGAAGCCTAATGTTTATTTTATATAAAGACTTAGGGTTCATTTGGGACTGCTTCTCTAGGAAATACTTCTACTCATAAGTGCTTCTAACAAAAGCACTTTTATTATAAAAATCTTGAATTTTCATAAAAAAAATTCAAGTGTTTCTGTGCTTCTCTAGAACGCGCTTCTATGACCCAAAAACGCTTTTAAATGTTTCTGCCAAACACTATCAGAAGCCTTTTTAGTTGTCAGAAAGCGCTTTTAGCCATTTTAGAAGCACTCCCAAATATACTCGTAATCATATCAATAGCAAGATCTAAGGAAAAGGGTTGATATTAGGCTAATTTGGGATAACATGAAAAAAGAGGATATGTTTTGTGATTCTCAAACATATACAAAAGTTATTATAGGGTTTTGTAGAGTGTCATTTTCAAAATATAAAAAGTTTCGTGGACAATTATAGCTTGCAATGTTGTTTCTTCCATGAATCATAGATGATAAGAATACCATTTAAATTTGAGAAATTCATGGATCTACCACTGTTCCTAGAGGCTAATTTATTTGAATAGTTGGCCAGAGAGTCAAGTGGAGGCGAGAGGTTAGGCCGAACTTGGGTTGGGATGAGCTAAAAAATCTGAAGCCCAGTCTGCCCATGACTTGGGACCAGACCGACCCATATTCCAAAAACTTAAACCAGTTTGGGCTCAGGGCATTCTGTTTGGGTATTTTATTGGCCTACATGGAACCACGTTGACAGTTTCTAATTCATATTTTCTCTGATTTCTTTTTTAATTTTTTTATAAAAAAAACCTGACTCATCTTGCGGCACACGCATATAGCATGAACAAGGAGAGAAAAAATGCCGTGGGTTGCTATGAACTTACCATTATGCCCCTAAAATTTTCAGTCCCTCCTAAGACAATTCCGATCTTTTTTGGTTTTTGACCTTATCTTGCTACCACGGCCAGGATCTCCTAACCGGTTAATACAAGTTAGCGGTGTGAAAGTCATATAACAAAGCAAGACCTGCAATTCTATCCAGTAAAAAGCTGCCACGTTTCCGAGCTTACAAATTCTGGGCGCACTGGATTTCCGTTCTTTTGCCTATAAAACTAGCGTTTCAGGGCCTTTTCAATCCCAGATAGCTTCCAGACTATTCGTCGAATTGTTAAATCTTTCTAGTTTTCGCCGACTCAAAGCCCTAATTTTCTGCCATGGCTCGCCGATCAGGAGGTTTGTGCTCTCCATTATTTCGTTCAGATCTGTCTCTGTTTCTTATGCCGTAGATCCGCCGTTGAGATATTATTTCAGTTTTTATTTTATTTTTTGTTGACTTCTAGGGTTTTAGTTTTGCTGAAAAACTAAGTCTAATGAACGGAAATGAAGCACATGAAAATTAGGTCTCTTTCTTGTAGATAAATGTATGCATGTTGTTAGGGTTCTGGGTTTCTAATTTCCAAGGGAATGGGAGGTTCTAGGGTTTGTCTATATTTTTTTTAACAAATTTGTTTTTACAGATTTTCCTTTATTATGAAAGGAAAGGGGTTGTTTTTACCAAAAAAAAAGGAAAGGGGTTGTTGTTGCATTTATCCGGCTCATTTTTTTAATTTTGTTTTGGCAATTGATAAAATCTGTTGTCATTTTTTTCTTTCTGTGTTAAATTGATTATTTGAGCGGTCAAAAAAAATTGGCTTGAAAATACTTATGTTGTTCATACGCCCACCCACACGCACAAACACGTCAACATATATATATATATATATATATATATATATGTAGATACGCATGATCTATGTTTAGGGAATGTTCCACATTTTGTGGAATGAGTACTTGTTGGATGTTTTCTGCAGTGTGCTCTGCCCAGCGCTTATTGTAAGGAAATATCCTTGTGAAGTTGTGAGAAGTAGCTAAACATAAGTTTATTAGATTTGCTAATGAAATTTAGAGACTTGTACGTTACCATATCGGCAATCGAGCCTATATTCATTCTTAACTGTTTGCTTGTAAAGAGACAGTTTTAATGTGCTACAAACACCATTGTAGGTCGTTCTGCCCGTCCAGCTCCAGCTCCTCGTCATGCACCAGCACGCAACCCTCCTCAGACAGGTGCTTATTTGAAACGTTATAGTTGAAATGGATTTTATTGTAATAAGATTTGTTTTTATTAGCTTATGCCATATTGCCCCTCTCACCTCTAATTATGTTATTTTCTTGATGTGATCAGTCAAACAAGCTCCTCCTCCGGCTCCAGTTCAGGGTGGAGGTGGTGGAATGCTCTCAGGACTTGGATCAACCATAGTTCAAGGTAGATGAAATTCATCTGGTTGCTTGTAGTGGTGCATGTGCAATCATTCAATTCCGTGTAGGATATCTGATTTTCCCCTTCTGCTGCAGGTATTGGTTTTGGGACTGGAAGTGCTGTGGCACACAGGGCCGTTGATGCTGTGATGGGTCCTCGCACCATTCAACATGAAACTGTAGTCTCTGAAGCTGCTGCTGGTGCTCCAGCACCCATTTCTAGCAGCATGAGTGGCTCTGATGCCTGCAATAATCACTCCAAGGCCTTCCAAGATGTATGCAAAACTCTACACCCTTTTCCTTATCTTTTCCTGAAAATTTAGTGATGCAAGTAAAGTGTTTGAATCTTTCTTTGTTCAGTTTATGGGGAGTGAGTAGGGGTTAGTAGACAATATCACCTTCTATGTGTTTGAATTTTTGTTTTCTTGTTATGTTATGAAGCATGTTTTTCGTGGTATGGTTAGAAATTGTTTTCAAACTTTTCAAACTTTATGACTTGTTTGAAATTGTTTGTACCCATTTTGAAGATGTTCTGTAATTATTTTGTAATTGTGACCATAATTGTTTTGTATTTGTTGATATGTCTTTGCATAAATAAGCACAGCATCCCCAATAGAATTTCTATTCCAAATATACTGTTTTCCTCCGTTCAAGTGCTTTTAAGAACAGTGCTCTAACTTTTGGCATGGATATCCTTTTGGGTTGTATGGTGAAATACTTCAAAAGGAGAAGCAATGTAATTCTTTTTCAGAAGATAGAACAACACTAAATCTTCTTGCATGTTTAAAGACATTAATCCTTTTTGGCTTTGGCGAGGTCAAGGTTTGGATAATTGTGTAATGGTGTTTGTTTTCATGCAATGGGTTTTCACTTCTAACTAATGGAAAAATGAATTATTTTTGCGCAAGGGGTTTCATTTTTGTGTTATTTTATCATGAAACCCGATTGTTTTTGAAAACATTTTTGTAATGAATTTGGCTCAGAAAATGTTAAACTGAAATGAGGGGTTGGTTTCAGATCTAACTTTTGTTTGTGTTTTCATTGTAGTGTGTCAACCACTTTGGAAGTGATATCAGCAAGTGCCAGTTCTACATGGATATGCTATCCGAGTGCAAGAAGAACACTGCCTCCGGCATGTTGAGTGCCTAAGCACTACCTATTTTTCCATTCAATGATTTGAAAATGTTATACTTTGCGCAGTTTATTCTTCTACCCTGTGCCTGTCATGATGGTGAATTAGTGGTGTATTGTGGGGAAGGATTTATATGAATCTTTTATGTGCATGGTAGAACATGCTGCATTAAGTAGTTGATCGAACTTGGTACTTGTTTGAAGTATCCATGCCCGTTACAATCTGTTTGAAAATAATGATATTTTGGAGTTATGATGGCTAATGTGGTTATGATTTAATAGAAACCCTCTCGTTTGTGGTGTTTTGTGCTAGATATCCTCTGCTGAAATTTGCTATCTTCCAAGTTTTATCTCCCGACTTTTCGCGTCTTCTGGCCTTTTGGATTAACTGTGTATCACCCTCATGGTCTAAAATCCTACGGCGGTGGGTTAGGATTTGGAAATTTGGATAGTTACTAAAAGTTTGCACGAAATAAACTGTATATTTCTTTTGTTTGCGTGTTTTCTGGTCTCTGGAAAACTGACCAAAACACAGTTCGTGATGTCCTTTTGGCAACTGAGCAACAGGAACATTATCGCTCATCACTGCGAGAATAACTTGGCCAACCTAATTATATTAAAGGGGTACCCTTTAATATATTATTGGCCACTAAAAGTGTCTATACGAACTCCATTTTTGGACACAAATACTCTTCCTCTTTGACTTTTTGTTTAGTAGCATTCGTGAGTGCTTTCAAACCTTTACCCACAGGGCTTGAGGCAAAGAGCTCAACCGACTGAGCTACCTCTATACACAGAGCTTGAGGTAAAGAGCTCAACTGACTGAGTTATACCCCTCAACCGACTGAGCTACCTCTATACACAGAGCTTGAGGTAAAGAGCTCAACTGACTGAGTTATACCCTACTGGCTATAAAATATTTCTAGGTTGAATAAGATAGAAGCATACAATACAACCACAAACAGCTAGTACCTGATTATTTATAACAAACATGGATTTGTTTCAGACGTAGGAATAATACTAAAAGCTGTTTAACAAAAGTAACAGAAGCATGCACGCCCAGTGAGCTGATACTAGCAAGCGCGGCTCACTGCTTCCTCCCATTCCCTGCATTTTTTGTCCCAGCTGGAGTTATGAGTACAAACTCCCGTCCGTGTCATGCTCGGATGCTCCTCCTCTCGCATCCCTTCCCTTCGGCAACCGGTGCCATAGCTGTATGTGAAAATTATTATAGAAAATTTGGCATAAG